GGCCACGACATCGCCGCCCTGGTGCTGGGCATCGTCCTCATCCTGCTCATCGTGGGCGGCAACGGGCTGGTGTGCCTCAGCGTCTGCACGGAGCGGGCGCTAAAGACCACCACCAACTACTTCATCGTCAGCCTCGCCGTCGCCGACCTGCTGCTCGCTCTCCTCGTCCTGCCCCTCTACGTCTACTCCGAGGTGAGGCTGCCCGGGGGGCTGCGGGGGCACCGGAGGGACTGGGGGTCGTGGCTTTCGTGCCCGGGGAACCTGAAAGTCACCGGGCTTCGGGGTTGGGTCCGCCAGAGACCAAGTATCGAGGGTGAAAGCCCCTCGCCGGCTTTGTTCCCCACCTCCATCCCTCCGGTTCGGGAGTGCCGCCGCCGCTGCCCAGCCCCTCGGGGCAGCCCCTGCCCTCCTGCTCCGTCCCCCCGCTCCGCTGCAGGGATGCTCGTGCCGCTTTCAAACCACCGCGGCTTCTCCCTCTTGGTCTCCCATGGCATCGCTGCTGCCTGCACCCGTGGGCCCCCCGCCCGCCGGCGGCGAAAAACGGCTGCAGGCCCGCCAGTGGTGGTAGCGGCAGCCGGTTTAGTGCAAGTTCGTGGGCTCCCCCGTCGTCCTCCCGGGCGACTGCCGAGCTGCAAATGCACCGAGTGGAGATGCACCGGGCTGTCTTCCCCGAGCCGGGTCACCAGCTCTGGAGAGCCCTTGCATTGCACGCTTCCCAAGTTGCCATCAGCAAATGGTTAGGAGGGGATAGAGAGCTCCTGTGCTGTGCTCTGTCTGGCTAAGGTGAGCAGGTTTTGGTGATAAGGGAGATCTTTAGCCAGGAAACAGGTTTCCATGTTGAGTTGAGTAGGGGAAGCTGTCTTTTTAGGGAGCTAGATGGGATTTGGTCACCCTACCTCAAGGTGGCTTTGGTCGGCTTGCTTCAGGGCTCCTCCTGGCAGGTTCTCTGGTTCGCACAGGCCTGACCCTGCATGCGATGGTGGTCATGGAGAGCCACCTTGGCAGACTTTGGGTCAGGTTTTCTGTTCACCTCCAAAACCTGTTTACCTCCGAGACTGTGACAGCTGGGGGAAAGAAAAACAGGAGCTCCTGAGGTTGAGTGGTTTTGCATCTCTCTCCGCCTCTCTGTAAAAGGGAGATAAATGTTTACTGCCAGGGGATTGGTAATGCCTTGAGATTGTGGACGGATTTGTTGGACTGGGGTGAGGAGGCTCGCTAGAGCCTGCCCGTTAGTACCAGCCGGTGTCTCCTTCCCTGCTCAAGTGGATGAAAGCACCCAAAGGCCAAAATAGCAGTTGTTTTGCACCTGCCCTTGCGGTAGCTGTTGGTGTGGAAGAAAGAGGAGTCGTCTTCTTTCCAGATGTGGGGAGAGCCAGGATGCAACCTTCTGCACAGTGAGCAGCCCCAGCAGGCTGTAGTCTGGGGACTGGGCAGGGTGTGTGTGTGTCAGATGAACCTTGCGTTTTCTGATAGCCACACGATTTGTAACGTGGTGGCTTAAGTGCTTCCTCAGGGAGTGAAAGGGGCTGTCCCCATGAGTGAGACCGAGTGGTGTTCCCATCCTTGAAGGCTAACACAAGAGCATACCAGCAGTTTTCAGGCCTTAGCATCTCCCCTTCTCTCCCCTGCCAGGGCTGCTGCTCAGCGCCTGACTGGGATGGGCCTGTATTTTCTTAGGCGAGGCAGGCTGCGGATTAGAGCTTAGGATGCTTTTAGCTTCTCTAGCTGGTCCTCGGATTTTGCAGGACACTGTGACCTCTGAAGACAGAGGTATTCTGGAAAGACAGGTTCAGCTGGGGACCCATAAGAAGAACCAGTGAAGAACAGGAGCATTAGATTCCCCTCTCTCTTTCACCGCACTGACAGGAGCCCCCTTGTGCTGTTTGGTTTCAGTGGTTTTGCTTTTCCCTTGTTAACTCAGTTTTGGTGGTTAGAAAGCCTCTGTCTTCATGATTCTTCTCAGCTACTACTTCTTGCTAACTGGAATTCCCTTTTTTTTTCTTGCTCTTTCTGTTGTCTCTCCATGCCTCCAGTTCCCTATTCTGTGGGCAGACACACACACCTGTGTGGTTTCCTCTAGCCTGCAGGCTTGAGTTTTGCTGGCATATGTAAAATGCTAGTTAACATACTCTGGGGTACCTCTGAAAATGCTGCCAACTGTGCATGAGCATTGTGGGGCTTTCCTTGGGTACCACAGACTTCCCACAAATTCTGGATGCTCGGGCAACGGGTGTTCAGCCCTGTATGAGCTTTAAAAACCCAGGCTGTGCCTTAGCTATGACAATGCTTTGTGTGTTCACTTCCATAGCTGTTCATAAACATCAGTTAAGTGGTAATTCTTCCATGTCTCTGCACCCAGGATATTAAACAACAGGGAATGAAGGTAGCCTATGACAGAATTGTCTTTCTCTCCAACTTCTGCAGCTCCTGCAACAAGGCAGGCTTTCAGAGGCGTAAGAGACCCTGTAAAAAGAGCATGCACCAGGATCTGCATTCCTCCCGCTCAGCGGTCACGCACAGAGTGGGTGTGGAAAGTACTGTACAGGTATGGAGAGAAAGGCAGCACTGTGCAGCAATCACAGCCTCCTCGAGCAGGCAATGGGGTTTTGAAGTATAGGGCAGCTTAGGCTGTTGTCGGTGTTGAAGCAGTACCCGTTTCATGCCTGGAAGTTTCTCTGTGGGCTCAGAGCCCATAGTGCCCATGTTCATTTTTAATAATCTCCTATATGTTGGTGCAGGATTTGCAGCTCATTTTGTTCTGAAATATGCTACAGAAAAGTGAGAGTAGCCATTGAGTCAGTGCCAGGGGACAGAGTGGTGGTGGGTTTTTTTTTTCCTTTTCTTGGAGGCAAAAGTGAAAACTGTAGATCAGAATCAGACGCTCAGATGGGGGGTGCAGAGTATTGTTGCTGTTTAAAACTAGCTTGATTTCAACTTGTGTTCTGTACCATTGCATTTAGCCACTGAAAATGTGGCATGGACAGTCCTGAATGTTCAGTTCAACCTTTATTCTTGGTGTGGTTTTTTTGTTTGTTTGTTTGGGTTTCTTTAGTACAGCTCCTGACAGAGTAAAGGTGGACTTTGAGGGCTGGTTGGAAAACTTGAAAACCGGCTGAGAGGGTGTTTTTTTGTTCTTGTTTAGCAGGAACAGAACAATAA